CTCCCCACTAGTCCTCGTTGGAGCACCCGTGCAAGGGTGTAGCTCCCCCTTGATCCGCGTAAGGATCAAGTGCTCTCTACGGGTTGATTCTTCGACACTCCGTCGCGGCGAATCACCCAAAGCCGCTCACAACTTGAGTCGGGTCACCCACAGTCTCCACCGGGTGATCACCAAGCTCCCAATCACCATCAAGCCGTCTAGGTGATGGCGATCACCAAGAGTAACAAGCACGAACTCTCACTTGACCACACGAAGCCTAATGAGAAGATGGATGCACACTTGACTACTCTTGATTCACTAATGAGGCTACTCTCTTGGATTCTCAAATCTCAATCACCTCACTAGGACCTTGCTCTTCATAGCACTCACAAACGTGTTTCTCAGCTGTTGGAATGAGCAAAAGCCGCTCCACACACGAGTGGAGCTTCTATTTATAAGGCAGCCTAAAAAACGAACCGTTATGAGCTTCTGCGGGGTGACCGGACGCTCCGGTCGCACTGACCGGACGCTCCGATCAGTTCAACCCGCGAACCAGTGAAAAAGAGTTGACCGGACGCTGGTAGGGTCCGGTCAGTACTGACCGGACGCGTCCGGTCGCATAAAACCCTTACTGGAACCTTACTGGACTCCACCGGATGCAGAACCCTCAGGGTCCGGTCAGAACTGACCGGACGCATCCGGTCGCAGATTTCCTTCTCTGGAACCTTACTGGAGTCGACCGGACGCTGCCTTTCAGCGTCCGGTCACTCGACCTCTCCAGCGTCCGGTCACACCAAACGCAGACAGCAGATCCAATGAACTGACCAGACCCTGCAGCCAGCGTCCGGTCGCACCGGGGCCAGCATCCGGTCAGCATTTGACCCTCCATTCACTTCTAACTCTCGATCATATATGAATGAAGTTTGCTCCAAAGGATCTTAGGCATTCGTAGGAGCTACCTAGAGCTAGTTTTAACAAGTGTGCACCACACCTAACTCACTAGACTTAACTAGGTCAAGCTACCCGTCCATACCCCCTTAATAGTACGGCCAAAAGAAAAACAAAGTCCAAAACTACTCTAAGTGTCTCTCCAACTCCAATCAACACTTAGAACTAGTCATCCTTAACCTTGTCGTCCATCCTTTGAAAACCAAAACGATTTCCATCGTAGGGGCATGACAACTTTGATTGCCCAATTGATCTCCATTACCATGACCTAACTTACTTGCCTCTGCAAAACACACGTTAGTCATAGTAATCTTGTATTGTCATTAATCACCGAAACCCAACTAGGGGCCTAGATGCTTTCAGCAACGAATCTAAACAGCGGAGTTAACTTAGGCACTCTGCGAGTCAACGTGATAAAGAGTCATGACTACCACATATGGATTGAGCGGCTTCTTCCGGTGATGGTTCGAGGCTATGTCCCGGAGCATGTCTGGCAAGTGCTGGCAGAGTTGAGCTACTTATTCCGCCAGCTTTGTGCCAAGGAGCTCTCTCGGACCGTTATTGATGACTTGGAAAAAGCGGCACCCGTGTTGCTCTGTAAGTTGGAGAAGATCTTTCCACCCGCCTGCTTCTTATCCATGCAGCATTTGATTGTGCACCTCCCGTATGAGGCACGGATGGGGGGGGGTCGTGCAGAACCGTTGGTGCTATCCAATCAAGAGATGTCTGAAGACTCTTCGCAAAAAATGTAGAAATAAAGCCAGAATTGAGGCTTCCATTGTAGAGGCATACATTCTAGAGGAGGTGTCGAACTTCACAGAGAAATACTACACTGAGAAACTTCCTAACGTTTATAATCCACCCCCTCGTTACAATGCTGGCGAAAATGAATCGAACCTCAGCCTTTTCCAAGGGCAACTCGGAAGCGCAAGTGCATCAACCACTAAGCAATTGAAAAATGAAGAGTGGCGCAGTATCATGCTATATGTGTTGACCAACCTTGTCAAGGTGCAACCGTTCATTGGGTAAGTTCTGAACGAACTTGTTTCATTTCGCCGTATGTCCTTGTTTCTTCGTCCAACCCCCTTGTTTCTCGTTGGTACATGGAATTTCTTCGTCAATCCTGGCATGGATCAAGGCAACCTACCCCACAAGAAAATGATACCCTTCTTTCACGGGGTGCGGGACCAAGGAGCCCCGATTTCATTTGTTGGTTCAAACAGAAAGCCCAAACTGATGCGCCTATAAGTGATGAGTTGAGACAGGTTGCAAATGGATGTGCTGTTAGGGTCAAGTCATTTACCGGTTATGACGTGAATGGATATCGTTTTCACACAGTAAGCTACGAGCAGAGTCAGCCCAATCGACAAACCACAAACAGCGGAGTTGTTACGCCCGGCACTGATGGACTCGACTATTATTTAAGAATTGAAGAAATCTATGAACTATTATTTTATGGTTCCAAACCTCTTACTCCTGTCATATTCAAATGCCACTGATTTCATCCTGGTGTAACAAGACGGACCCCTAAGCTTGGGCTAGTCGAGATTCAATAGGATTCCATCTATCTAGGAAAAGATGTCTACATTGTGGCTCAACAGGCCGTCCAGGTTTATGATACGTCATACGCGTGCAAAGACACCGAACATCTTAAGGGTTGGTCTATTGTGCACAAGGTATCGCCACACGGTAAACTACCTGTCCCAAACGATGAAGATTACAACTTCAACCCAAACACATATGATGGAGAGTTCTATCAAGAAGAGGGGCTACAAGGAAGGTTTGGCATAGACTTAACCGAAGAGATAGGAATGGAAGTAGACAATGAAAGGAATGATGACGAGGACGCTAGAGACGAGGTGCGAAATCTGAAGGACATACAAATGTTTGAGTGATTACATTTAGGCAATGACAATGAAGACAACATTCCTCCTTCGGATAGTGTTGATGAGTTGGACAATGTTGATAGTGATGATGAGACTTATGATCTAGCTAATCTCAATCATGAAGATTATTTCTAGTACATGTAATACTATGTTTTTTGTAATTATGTTTTGTTCATTTTTGCATATATTTCTAATACATGTATTACTATGTTTTTTGTAATTATGTTTTGTTCATTTTTGCACCTATTTCTAATTATGTCTTGTTTTTCTTTTTTATTGCAGGTGATTGAACAAAGATGGCGGACGACCGTCATAGGTTCGTGAACTCGATTTACCAAAGACCACGCCGGCCGCAAGAGGGGGCGGAAGGGGTGGCAGAGGGATTGGACAGGAGGAGGAGGAGGACTGCTAGCCGCAGGAGGGGGCCGTCTCCTCCCACGCCACGTGAGGAGGACCGCCAGCCGCAGGAGGAGGTGGCGCCCGTGGACGAGTCAGACGAGAAGCTAGTTCGGCAGACGGAGGAGGAGGAGGGGGAGGCGGCAGGCACAGGTTCCGCTTCCTCCAACTCCTCTTCAAGTGTCAACTTGTAAGGTCCCGCGAGCCTCCCACAGGTTCCGCTTCCTCACCAACGCCCAGTGATTCGCCCCGAAGGACAAAAGTAAGTAACTTTATATGTTATCACCACTACTTCATATGATATGATAAAAAAAAAAATATTTTTTCTTAATCACTTGTGCAGGAACTGGGTGGTTGTGTCGGGTGGTAAAATTTACCGTTTTTGGTCACTTTGCCGAGTGTTGCACTCGACAAAGGACCCCTTTGCCGAGTGGAATGGTCACAGCACTCAACAAAGCTGGAAAAATGGGCGTCCAGAAAATAGATTTTGCAGCTTCCAGCTTTGCCGAGTGCTGTGACCATTACACTCGGCAAAGAATTTTTTTTAAAAAAAAAGAAAACTCAAACTTTGCCAAGTGCCGGCCATAGGGCACTCGGCAAAGAATTTTTTTTTAAAAAAAATTAAAACTTTGCCAAGTGTCATCCATAGGGTACTCGGCAAAGAAATTTTTTAAAAAAATAAAAAAATCTTTGCCGAGTGCCTTCCGGGTTGACACTCGGCAAAGAAATTTAAAAAAAAATAAAAAAATATTTGCCGAGTGCCCTGTGGCTGGCACTCGGGAAAAAAAATTAAAAAAACAAAATTCAAAACTTTGCCGAGTGCCATCCATAGGGCACTCGGCAAAGAATTTTTTTTAAAAAATAAAAAATCTTTGCCGAGTACCCTATGTCTGGCACTCGGCAAAGAATTTTTTTTAAAAAAAATAAAAACACTTTGCCGAGTGCCTGCAGGCTTGGCACTCGGCAAAGAATTTTTTCAAAAAAAATAAAAGCTCTTTGCCGAGTGCCTTCCGGATTGGCACTCGGCAAAGAAATTTTTTTTAAAAAAGTAAAAAATCTTTGCCAGGTGCCTTACGGGTCGACACTCGGTAAAGAATTTTTTTTAAAAAAAAATAAAAAATCTATGCCAAGTGTCTGCAAGGCTGGCACTCGGCAAAGTGACCGTCAACGGGACCGGCGCCGTGACAGTCGTTTTTCTTTGCCGAGTGTCCCGGGGCACTTTTGTCGAGTGCCCGATAAAAGACACTCAGCAAAGAGGACTTTACCGATCCAATTTTTGCTGTGTGTTCTTTGCCGAGTACCGCACTCGGCAAAGGCTTTGCCGAGTGCAATTTGACCTTTGCCGAGTGCCTCAGACACTCGACAAAGAACCTGAATCCAGTTGTGGACGGCGAAGAAGACAGGGCCCTTCATCTCTACACACCATGCTTGCAGGTAGTAGGGTCACTCCCGTCACCACGAACCCCTGTCAGAATAATTAGATTCATTAATTCCACCATCCATGCATTATCTGTTCATCCCGTTCATGGCTAGCTGCCGAGATTACTGTTACATACGGTGTAGAGGACGGCGAGCAAGCTGATGTCAAGCCGGAGAATCCACTTGGAGAAGTCCCTCTCCGCCACGACGGCGACGACGAACGACTGCACGGCGCTGAACAAGCACTGCACCACCGTAACGAGCATCTTGTTGGGGTACTCCTTGAGCAGCCTGCCCAGCAGGACGATCAGAGCGACCACGCCATGTTGGCGAGCACCATCAGGAACGTGCCCTTGATCCATGTCGTCCTGCCGCCGCTCGGAGCTGGACTGGCGGAGGAGGCGAAGGCGCGGTGGCGGTTCACGGGGCTCAGCGCGGGCCCGACGTAGAAGGCGATGGTGAAGACTCCGGCGAGGCAGAGCGACACGCCGGCGAGCTTGGCTAGGCCTGATGAGCTCCTCAGCTTCACCGCCTCCATCTTCAGTAGCAGCGCGAAGCAGAAGGTGACGACTGGCATGGCGTTGGTCGCCGCGGACGCCACGGTTGCCGACGTGAACTTGAGACTCACGTTGTACAGGTTTAGGCTGAATGTGATCCTGCAAACATTGTTAATTAGCTAGTTGATAATAAGCTGTTTGAATGGATGAAATATATAGAAACATGCATAGTGCATATATAGCGTACCCGATTAAGGCTAAGAAGAAGAGCTTGAGGAGCAGCCAAGGCAACAGGGTTCTCACATTTTTCCTGCAAATTATTAGTTGAATTCATTCGTCTCAAATCTTAGAACCGACCAGTTTCATTCATTTCACAGTTCATCAGTAGCTAGTAGGTTATGACAGGTACCTTTCGAGAACAAAAGCTATAGGAAGGAGGAGGAGCGACGCGGCGGCCTGGCGGTAGAAGATGAAGACGTAGGTGTTCATGCCATGGTTGAAGGCCGCCTTGGAGACGACGAACATGCCGGTGTAGATGAGCTGGACGACGATGGCGATCACGTAAGGCTTCTTTGCCTCCATCTCCATGACGACACGACACTCCTAAGCTAGCAGTAGCAGATCTCTGCAACGATCTGATGGAGCGAGAAATAACCAAAAGCAGCCAAAGTATAGCTAGCTAGCGGCAGAATGCATGAAGACTGAAGAGAAGATCAGCTGCTGCCTGCCTTGTCAGGTACACACTACGCACACATATAGATACTATATAGTAGCTAGCGAGCTAGCAGAATGAAAGGAGATTAATTATTAACCAGTCATGTGTGTGGATGCAGGACTGACTAAGTTAATTAGTAGTATATGTGTCCAGGTATACGTGTTGCAGCTTGATCAGCAGCAGGCAGATCAACATTCATATATAATCGCAAAATGAATTATTGTTGTGTGAATGATGTATTCATGTATCTGACCAGCAGGTAGCAGCCGGCTGGCTTACTTACTATATGTCGGCACCAAAATGAGTCGCGTCGACACAAAAGTCAGAAGGGTCTGCTCGATGGAACTGGAGATCCATCTGGCTTTAACGCAGGGTTAATCGATCCTACGTATTCTTTTCGTGATGTGCCAATCAATTTGACCCTATAATTAACAAGGAGAGAAAGTTTATCAGTAATTTAAGATGGAACATGTCGGTCTGTGCCCAGACAGTTCCAAGTGTGCCGCTTTGGGAGCAGCCATACCGGGAGAACGATTAAATAGCCGATACGCACAGAAATCGGCTGTTACGGACTGCAAAGCTCGTGAGTAGCGATTAATTTCATATTGACAGGTACAACACTCGTATATGTAAATAAGATCATCAGCTAGATAGATACTGCCAGTGTAAAGCATTAAGCCGATGAATCTAATCAGAAAAAGATATAGCACGCGAATGAATCGACTATCTGATATGAACGGATCTACAAACGCTCTGAATCTAATATGTTACCACCAACAGTGAGATTCGACCGAATCGATGGCAGCTATGATGATAATAACAAACTAAAACCGAATAATCCGTAAAAACATCCATACTTCGACAGGTTTTCCGAAAGACATGCTATACGTGAAGGCTCGGATGAATCGGCTAAAATAGTCGATTCAGGTGAAGAGAACTACAACGTGTGAACAATCGACTGTTTCACATGAATAAACATATGAACTCCTTAGACTCAACCTGCTATCTCTAACAGTGGGGTTCGACCAGATCGATGCAGCCGTGAAAAAGACAACTAATCAAACCCTTAAAATACACAGATCTATTCACGTTTAACAGAATCATGGACGCACACCGTAGGCGTTAACGCACTGGCGATCGGCTATTTAGCCGATGCAAGCATAGCTAACAGCTAAGGTAACGCTTAACCAGGAACAAATCTACTAACTAGCATCCTCTAATCTATAGTGCCATCAGTGGAGATCGACCGGATCGTTTCAACTATAATGGTAAACTATAAACTAGATTTAACTAGCCAACAAACTTCTTCAAGATTATTCATGCATTAACCGCGTACTATGCATGATCAAGATCGAAGTAAAAACAGCCGATGATACATAAACCGTCGCTCAAGGTAAACAATATCGTGTTGTAACAAAACGAACGACGGACCTAAAGGATATGAGGCCGATCTAAATCGATCTCGACCGGACAGATTGATGTTGTTGCAAAGCTAATCACAATAAAAACATCAGCAAGATCGGTAACTTAATGAATCTACCAAAGATTGCCACTCTTAAGTAGAGCTGATAATTTGACCTTAATCTAATTCGAGCAGTGGAGGTCGACCGGATCGATGCAGCCGTACTTGAATTAGACATGAGTTGATAACTAGCTTATACTAGAGTCGCAGTGGAGGTCGGCCAGATCGATGCAGCCGTACGAACAGAAGTATAAGCCATGACGGTACTTACAGACAAGCCGGAAGTCGGCCGGACCGATGCAGCCCTGGTCGCTGAAGAACTCGTCGAGATCTACTCTACTCCTACTCCTAGGGGTTGGCTAGAGCCGAAAAAAGTAAATGACTTGTATTTGATTGATTGTGTGTCCTTTACAATAGCCGGGGTCCAATATTTATATCCGGAGCCTAAACATGAATCATACTCGAGTACGACTCATTATAATCTTTGGTATAAAAAAACATTCCTGACTTAAGATAACTTGGACCCCAATCTTTTCCTTTTTGTAGAGTCCGATATGTATTTCCCGACGCCAACCGTAGTTCATTGTCGTTATCTGCTGACGTCATCCAGAGAAAGCTGATTCCAGTGTTGCATCTGAATCAGCTGATACCGATCCTTACGCAATCGATTTCCTGATCGATACAATCTTGAAAGTTTCGAGTTCCCGCGTTTTTCTTCCTAAATTTTGGTGTAAACACTGTACCTGCTTGTCTCCTGCGTATAAGCAAACAATCAGAGGGATCATCGTAATAAAATACTAATTGGCTGCTAATTGTGCAGGCACATTGCTAAGCCGTCACCAGCTTATTATATATGGGTCGGTCGGTGATACTGATAGCTTGCTTATATTAGTTACAAATTTAAAGGCTGAATTTTTAAGTACTTGTGCACCTTGCACATATTTTGCTCCTGAAATAATAAGTATATATATACTGCACTAAATACTAATTAAGCACACATCATCACTGGTTTATATGCTACTAATAAGCTAAATTATACTATATATTAGATTTATTTGATTGATTAGATCGAGCGAGACAAGAGAAACTAGTCATTGGTCAAACCTAGCTACTCCTATAAATACCAAAGATTCAAACTCTCGGTAGCTAGTACAGATCGAACTAAATGCTAATATATTGTATGAGATCAACTTGAGAAGCAGTCTTTGCTGTGTCCATACGTCCACGGTTTACGGGGGCTGCATTCATACCAAGTAAGTGAGACATTTGTCTCATGTGCTTCAGATTTTACGTGCATGCTACCTAGCTATTTTCATCCGAGAATTTTTATTTTTTAATCCCTTTTTATTTAATATTTTAATAATAATCGCACCTGAAATTTTTTTGCGGATCTGATCCTTTTGGTCATGCAGGTGCAGCTGACGCGACCAAATAACGCTGCCGCGCCACATACATTGACGCGACAACACCTGCCACGTTAGACAACATTTCCGACGTGGAAAATCTTGTCGCACCACTCCCGTTAGCGTGACAGTATTGTTCTGTCGAGCCACAAGCCACCGGAACTGGCGTAACAAGGCTCAAACTTAGAAAAATCATAACACTTTGATACAACGTCGGATGAAGATGATTTTTACATGAAAATTGTAGATCTCGACGAGATCTACAACTTTCTAGTTGTATGGTGTCAAAAAAATTTGAGGATGTTAAGATGCTCTAGAAAATAATATAAAATTTCAGCTCGGGTATACTGCTGAATTTTTATATTATTTTTTCGAGCATCCTGACAACCTCAAATGTAAAAACTTAAAACTATAAAGTTATAGATCTCATTGAGCGCTACAATTTTGGTATAAAATGTATCTTTATTAGACACCATACAAAGAAGATACTATTTTTCTAATACGACAAGCGATATTACGCGATTATTACGCTGCTGAAATTTTATATAATTTTTTTGAGCATCTTAACATCCTCAAATAGAAAAACTCAAAACTAGAAAGCTACAATTTTCTTTTTTAAAAAATCATCTTCATCCGACGTCATATCGAAGAGTTATGATTTTTCTAAGTTTGAGCCTTGTCACGTCACTCCCGGTGGTGCGACAGAACAATACTCTCACGCCAACGGGAGTCGCGCGGTAAGGTTTTCCACGTCGGAAACATTGTCTAATGCGGCAAGTGTTGTCGCGCCAATGCATGTGACGCGACAGCGTTATTTGGTCGTGCCAGCAGCACCGGCGCGACCAAAAGGGTCATATGCGCAAAATTTTTGAGGTGCGATTATTATTAAAATATTAAATAAAAAAGGATTGAAAATATAAAAAGTTCCTTGATCCTAGAAAGTTGCCATTTCGGTAGCAAAGACTAAAAGGTGTAGGGTGCAGGTGCTAGCCTCCGTCCCATAAAAGATGCAGAATTCTATGTTTGGTGAGAGACAAACTAACTTAAATTTAACTAAGTTTATGTAAAATAGTATCAATTTAACACTCAAGATAGGCATATTATTATAAAAATATATTTGATAACAAATCCTAATGATATTTATTTAGTACAATAAATATATATATTTTATATATAAATTTGGTAAAAATTAGATGATTTGGCTGAGCACTATTCTAGAATTACATATTTTATAAGAACCAAAAGAGTACTCATAGTAATAAATGGTTACCTCTTTATATTATTATTATTATGGTATTATCAAAAATGAAAAAAAGATGGCTAGCTAACTGGCTGGCTTTTTTTTGGGAACAGCTAACTAGCTAGCTATATAGGCCCAGCTATTGCATGAGACATTTGTCCGATGTGCTTCAGATTTTACGTGCAAGCTAGCTAGGCCTCGTTTAGATTGGGTCAGGAATCAGTATTTCACACTGTAGTATTTTTGTTTGTATTTGATAATTATTGTCTAATCATAGTCTAACTAGACTCAAAAGATTCGTCTCGTAATTTACAATCAAACTGTGTAATTAGTTATTTTTTATCTACATTTAATACTCCATGTATATGTCTAAAGATTTGATGTGATGGAGAGAGAGTGAAAAAACTTGGAATCGGCCTTGTTTAGATTGCAAGTTTTTTCACTCTCTCTCCATCACATCAAATCTTTGGGCCTTGTTTAGATTCCAAGTTTTTTCACTCTTTCTCCACCACATCAAATCTTTGGACATATGCATGGAGTATTAAATGTAGATAAAAAAAATAACTAATCACACAGTTTGATTGTAAATTACGAGACGAATCTTTTGAACCTAATTAGGCCATAATTAGACAATAATTATCAAATACAAACGAAAATACTACAGTACCAAATACTGATGTCTAACCGTCGTCTAAACAAGGCCCTAGCCTAGCTGTTGCTCAACGCCACAAATGCAAGCAATGGAGTACAGACACTAGAAATAAATAA